ATTGACATGTTTCACAAAAATTTTACATAGCTATGACAGTAGACATGTCGATCGCGTGAAATCCTGTCTGACTGATAAGTATTTACCAAGTGTTAAATTTTCTGCATTACTTAATTCCTGATCAATTTTTAGGTTAACTTTTGATATTCCTTACTTAATAATTGTCCAGCTAATGTTTGTCGTGATGGAGGATGATAATTTGCTTGTAGTTGATAAAGCAGTTCTCGAAAAAAAAGATTATCAATTACACTGAATGGAATCCCACAACAAACAAATGCTCTCACAAGAGCAATGTTAATGGCTTCAATTTTTCCTTCTGATAATTCTTTATTTTCATAAAAGTCATCTATTGTTTTTTGATCAAATTTTATTTTTATTTGAATTATTTGATTGAAATGACATTCTAGAATTTCTGGAACTTGTTGATGTAATATCTTCAGCCAAATTTTCTGTTGATAAAACTTCAAGATAAAATCTTTGAATCATATCAGGACATGCTGGACAATTATTGGCTAAATGAGCTTGTAATGATTGTACATAGGCTCTGCCCCAGCGTTGTTTGCAAAAGTTGCACTCTGCAGAGTAATTCCCATGTGAATTAAGTGGGGTTTTAATAAAATATTCCCACACTTCATTTTGCCTTTGTCCTGCTGTTTTTTTTGTTGACATATATATTCAAATAATAATTTTCCTCTTATAAATATTGATATTAATGTTCTTAGTATGTTCTTATTAATGTTCTTGGTATGTTCTTATTAATGTTCTTAGTATGTTCTTATTATTGTTCTTAGTATGTTCTTATTAATGTTTTTATGTTCTTGTTAAAATTTGAACTAAAAATAAAAATTAATAGCTAAAAAAAAAATATTTAGTTACTCTTAGTGAGAAGGGTGAAAATTGATGGTATAAATAATAATAAAACAGCCTAAAGGCCTAAAATAATGATATTAATTTCAATAATTTCAAAAAAAAAAAATATATATTATTATTATTAATTATTATATTAATTTCAAAATAAAAATTTTAATTTTCTGTCTTATTTATAAACTATCTTAAATTCTTATATTATTGTTCTTATTTCATTAAAGTTTGTTATATTAATGAGAAGAAGATGAACGAACATATATATTATAAAATCTTTTGGAAAAAAAAAAATATATATATATATTATTATTATATATATTAATATAGTAAAAATACAATAATAATAATTATATACAAATTTAAATAAACAAATACCCCTCGTATCTAATTAATATTAGGTTAGACCGTTTGGAACAACAGATCGCCACCTTCCTTTCCACGTGGCTGCTAGTTCCTGAGAATAACATTTAATAGTTATGGCCACACTTTATGTATTATATTTTGCTCACTGAATATGCCATGTGATTTATATCGATCCCAAAAGAAAAGTTTTGTCAAGGCAATGAGTACGAGCAGACACTTTAAAAAGAAAGCCCGGTATACAACAAAAGAACTAACATAATACGCAAAAAAATACTTTAATATGCTAGGCTGATTTCGGGAAGATTAGGAATAATCTGATAAACAATGGTGCTTACGTCGTCCGATAAAAAATAAAATACGTAATATATATTAATACTAATACGGAATAGCAAAAACGCAGGATTATTATGTGAATTTGATAATTGAGTTGAATGAAATTATTGGATTGACAAAAATTTTGATTTTCGAATTATATGAAAGTTTGAATTTTTCGAATTTTACAAAGTATTGATTCGTCGCGCATAAAATCATTTGGCATTCTCAGAATTAAAATATTTTCTAGAGTAAAATGATTGACGTCAGGCGCATTATCACGACCCTCCTTTTACTTGGAAATGTTTCTTCTTCTTTTAGATGTAAATAATTGAAGCCAGAAATACGAAATTAATTGGAGATGAAACTGTTTAGGCTTGCATTAATATAAAGATGAAAAATAATTTTTAATAAAAATGATAATTAATTC